CTAGACAGTGAGAGCAATCTAACACGAGATCAATCCCTTTCCACAGTCACACAATCACAAGCACTTCTTTATGCAACCAGGCAGTCCGTCCAGCCAGTCTTCAGCCAATGCCATTCGGCATTGTTGCATTCACAAATGCATCTTGAACATTGAGGGCTCATTAGGGAGGTGTCATTTAACAAAACAAGCGAGCGAGCGAGCGACCGAGCAAGCGAGCCAGCGAGCAAACATACGTACGTACGTACGTACGTACGTACTTACTTACACGCCCACATAAACACATCAACACAGACACATACATACATTCATGCATGCATACATACATACATACATACGTACATACATACATACACACCTTATGCAAAACGTAGCATAGTGTGACAGTGTGACATAGTTTAGCATAAGAGCAGCGACATATGTAGATATTCATAGAAAGGTCCAGGATTAGGTGCTAGCTCGTTGTGACCAGTTGCCCGGCGGAGCTGCCGAGACTTCCTCACCGAAAGGCTTGGGCGGGTTTGTGTGGCCGAGGAGCTAACAGAGTGCATCCTGGAAGCCGCTGGCAACTCTTTGAAGCTCAAGGTCGGGCATGTCGACATCCTTGCATGTCAAAGAGCGGCTCACATCCTTACATTTCTGTCTCTCTCTCTCTCTCTCAGGAGTTGAGCTCTGTCAGCAAAATCTGCAGCAACCTGGCCGCACCCGGGCTAGTACTGCCGTATTGCTGTTGGAAGTGCTCGCCCCCGTCAAAGGCAAGCTCCATGCGACATACGAAGAGCATCAGCCTCGCTTACGACAGAGGGAAACACTGTTCGTCGGTGATGCTTTGTACAGGTTCGGCACTCTGCTGGGCAGAGGCCTCCTCAAGGCAGGTAGTGAGAGAGCAGCCAGGACAAAGTTTGCGAAGCGTGCGTTTAGTAAACATTCCAGTGATGCTTAACATCACACCCGCCACTCCCTCAAGAGTAAGGGACAGCAGGACACCAAACCCACAGTACAAGGAGTCAGGCGTTTAGCTCAGAAGACAGACCGAGCAATTTAGTGGCGGCGGATGGTTGGGTTATTTATCGTGGCGGGTAGCCTGAAGATGCGAAAGAAAAACATGCTGGAACCAGTGTTTGGGCTCGATCTATCTCCAGAAGCTACGCCCAGCTGGAAACAGGCTGACCGAGGTGCAGGGAACGCGCAGGAGGGAACGGCAGAGCTTCTGGGTCCTCAACCGGCCATGGGCCACTGATGACCCGTTTATGATTTAGGGCCCCAAATAACCATCCTAATTGCGCTTATGTTATTTTTGTGGGCTCTGGACTCAAGGGTTTTGGCATGTTTTGGCGGTGAAGCTCGGCAGGGCAGTGGCAGAGCAAACTCCAAAACCTGTCTTGTGCGGAATGCCGTGCATAAGTACCAGTCAGTCTCTCGATGTGATCGGAATCGTCTCCCACTGTGCTTAAGCGCACCATGATACAGGACTTTCTGTTGATGTCTTGCTCACTTGAAGCCTGCGCCTGAGACATCGTGCAAGCTCGCAGGCCTTCGGCTCCACGCCCGCATCAGAGCTTAACCGGAGACGGTTTCTGCTTCGTGCCGCAGATGCATCTTACAAGCAGGGTCAATCTAGGCAAAACTGGGGTGTGATTGTCCGAGGAATGTGTGCGGAACTGTCCCTCATAGAGTGCGCACGAGCCCCGGCAACGTGTTCTTCTTTGAAAGCTCTTGCGCAGACTGTGCTCCTGTGCCCATACCTGCGCTCATGACGCGCTTTCAAACTTTCGCAACATGTAGCCTCAGCATAAACGCATGCCGCCAAATCAATGGAGCCACCGTGTCGTACGGTGCCATGTGACTTGCAGCCGTTTGGATTCGGATCGCCGTTAAAAAATGCCGCGAGCTCCAAGGTACAAGCACCGAAGCCGCCACTAGTGGAGATGTTTACGGAGCCAGGATCTTGTTGGTCTTGCCTGCGCAGGCGGTATGATCGCGACGTGATGAACCGTTGCACGTGGCTCTCGCCGAGGTTGTGCGATATCTCTGTTCCAGAGGAACAGGCTGAAGCTTGCTGTGCGAAGTCCAAGCTTCAATAAAGACGTGCCCATGATCGTAGCCTTTGCATCAGCATGCACGTGAGCGCACAGCTTGTGACGAACTTCACCATCATCTCCTCGCTCGCGCAGAAGCACGCAGTCAGCTGTCCTGGACCCAGCCTGCAGAGGAACTTGTGTGTCAGTACCAGCCTACGCGGCACGAGACAGGTTTCAACATCGTCCCGACGAAGCAGCAAGCCTATGCAGAGGTGTTGGGAAAGGACGGCTTGAAAAACCACGGGTCACCCCAGCTCGACCCATGCGAAGATGTCTTGCACTTCGCAACAGGGCTGCCAAGCTTGAAAAGGCATCAGACTTCGTTCACAGTGAACACACTTTTCCTCGCACATCCCCGAACAAAGCCAACGCAGTCCTTAGACTCTCTCTCTTCAGGGATTTGTAGGTGGCAGAGAATTCCGAAGCACAGTTCGAAGTTCAGAGGACTGGCCGGAACGGCAATGTGTCTTGGAAGAGGCCAGGTCCTCTGCTACTTGCCTTCGCCGGTGCCACGGTTGAAAGCCGTGCTCAAAGCTCGAACTTGTTGAGGCATCTCGCAGCAAGCTTCAGCAACTTGCCGTAAATGTCCAGTCCCAAGAGTGCCAGCCTGCAGACAGTTTTGCGGCGTACTTCTGCCGTGGAAAACAACACGCAAGAGTTGCAGGCATATCAGTCAGCTGCCGGGGGTCTCCTCAGAAGTGCTCACGGCAGATTGCTAGAGCAGGCCGTATGGCTAGACATTGCTGTGGGAGCTCGGAACATCGATAAACCGTTTCAGCCAGAGCTCGTTCAAGCTGTGCATGGTCGTAGGAAAAGACAAACCAAGCCCTGCGCGTGGACAAGGGCCAGGCCGCGACCGAAATGCATAACGTCTCGAGAGCTTGCTGCTCGTTTGCGAGCTCTGCGAAAAGGTGGATGCTGAAAACGAGCAGAAGCATACCCAGCTAAAGGAGGCTTTGCAGAAGATAGAGGAGCGGTGCCAGCATCCGAGACCTTTTGTTTCTGTCTTGACATTTCCCTCCAACGCAGTCGACGCTCACGACCTTGTCTGACTTCCTGAGCCAGACCGGAGCTGAGAGGGAACACGAGTGGCATCGGCAAGGATGGCGAAAACTGATCGACTAAGGCCAATGCCAACCACTGTGGAAGAAGAGGAGCCCAATGTGCCGGTTCCTAAGAATTGCTTTTTTCACAATGTGACATGTGCTGAGATGTTCTGAAGCCTGCAGTCGGTGCGAGGTCACGCGTTGGAGCTGGTGAGAACGCGAAGGACGTGCTATGGGCACGGCAGCTCTGGCGACGCACTTGCACTTCTTATTCTGTGATTCAGGAAGAAGCGCCAGAAGAAGAAGAGGTCTTAATCTTCGAGGCAGATGTATACAAGCCTTGACTTTCTCCCTGCGAGCTGAGCCAGCAAAAGGATTCAGAACAGCGAAAATTCTACGAAGACGTGGTCGACTTGAAGGAGTCATACGTTTCCACGAAGAGCTAAGGATGCTGTTTCAGCAGGACTCTTGATGTGCTGACGTGTTGCTCCACGCAGGATATCATCCCCGCGGTGTTGCTGACCTCTGGCAAGGCAGCTCAGGATACTGGGGGCGATGACAAGGACGCACATGTTCTCCATCACGACTGAAGCAAAAGCGTTTGCCTCACATCCGGCTCTACAGTCTGCGGGTCGAGGAAACCAAGCAGGAGAAGCCACCAGAAGAAAAAGAAAAGAAGGATCTGTCAGCAGCTTCAGCCAATCGGATTGCAAACTGGACATGATCGATGGAACTCGAATGCGGCTGCGATGGCTTCGACTGTGCTCAGAACCTCCATTGCTCAGACAGCCAAGGACTTTGACTTGTACCTAATGCGTGTGGCCAAAGCCGAATCAGCAAAGCAGGCCATGCGAGTGATGTGGTTCTCAGGGTGGCAGGGTGGGAGGCTACGTCTGGATGTTGCATCGACATATTAGGTGTTTGTCTGTTCCCGGACGCATCATCTTTACAGGGAACTGTCTCGAGCTGCAGCCTCGCCTGCATCCTGTCACAGCGAAGAAATCGCCCGGATCTGTGGACGCGTTGCAGGCTAAAGTTACTAAAGTAACATGCAACCGTGGATGAGTGGGTGTTCCAGAAGTCTCGGATAGTATCAGATGCACAGCCAACATCGGAAGCGATGTTGTGTCAAACCGGCAGCCCGTGCACGTGGAGACGTGCCCATGTGAGCTTTTGCGCTCGCTGTTGCTTGAGGTGGATGACATCGTGATTGAGTCTCTGACTTATTTGGCAGATTCACGAATCGACAGGTAGTTGAAACCTTGGTCTCACTCTTCATGATTTTTTTCGCAGATTCTTCCATGACTTTAACACGAAGTCGAATCGGCAGCGCCTGGCAGTCGGCTACTCAATGGTGAACTGCGCCAGCAAATGTCCAGCACATTTCAGCCTTGGCTCTGGCGTGGATGGCAGGCACACTTCTACAATGTCAGGTTCTGAGTCGGGAAGCCTCTACTGGCAGCTTTTGTTGAGCCACAACCGGATGTGGAATATGAGGCGCACAGGACAAAGCAGTCCACATCTCAGAGCTGCAATCTAGTCGGAGACAGCGCTTGCGCCAAGGAGTTGTCTGTCCGCTAAGCATGGCAGGCTGCACTTGCTTGCTCCCTACGCCCGGATGGCCGCCATGATGGGGCCAAGATCCCGGCTACAGGCATTGTTAGGGGCTTGGCAGCCGGTCCCGAAGAGCGTGAGGCAGTACATCAAGGACATACCTCAGCAGCTGATGTCTTGGCTGCAGCACGACCTCGAGCAGGCGAGTGCAGGACCAGGACGCCTTTGACTTTCATGTTTTCGTGTGATATGCCCAGGTCATAGGGGATGCGAATCAGAATTTGCTGGAGCAGAAGGCAGTCGTGAATTCAGATTGCGCCTCTGCAGCGACTTCGGACCTTAACATGTCGCAGGTCAAAGTCGTCAAGTACTTGTGCGAGCTGTGCAAGCAGCGTGTCCAGAAAATGCGTTGAAATGCACTCTGATCACAAGCCCGTGGACAAGGTTCAAGATATGTCCTCCGGGCGTTGTGCTCGATGTCTTCAAGGTGGCCCAAGTCGATTCAAGCAGCAGCTTTCGGTTGGCTCTTTTTACGCTTCTCGGTTCAGACCCTTTGTGACGATTTCAACCAGCAGAATGCTGAATTGTGCGCTAACCTGCTACAGCCTGTCCCTCAGGCGCGCTGGCGGGTGGATTTTGTCTTATCGAAGTGAATTGAAGGTCCTGTGGCCGGTACCTGTTGTACAAGCCTGAGACAGTCTCAAGCTCAGCATCTTGGGATTCCGTCCTCGAGAACTAGCACTCTTGGCCAGGCGATGAGAACAGACAACTTGTTGGAGCGCATGTCGAGACCTTAGGGACCTGGCCGGGTGAAAGCGGGGTCGCGGCAGTGCGGGGTCTTCGTGTTCCTGCCTTTGCTAAGGGCTCGCCTCGCAAAGGCGAAGTCTTTGCCCCTCAGGCATGGGTGAGAGTAAGAGCTTGTGGCACTCTCGGTCACTGTTCTGAGTCATTTTGGTGCAGGTTGGAGATCATGCTAGAAGATGCTTTCTACCAGGTCAAGCCGCCTCGCCCCAGGTTTCGGCAAATCTTGCAGTCCCCATTGTCCCAAAACAACTGGCCAAGGCCGGAAGGCAAACGAAAGCAGAAGAAAGAGAAGGACACACTTTGTGCCAAGCAAGCACTTCAATGAGGGGCGAGTCGTTTTCAGGATCCCTTGGAGCAGTTTGTAGAGCATCTGATCTTCGACCGATTCCTCCTTAGCTTGCCTGTCTGCCAAGCAGTTTGCCAAAGTGCTTCTTGTCAACATGAGCCCTCGACAAGGCCTCTACAAAGAGGAGGACGAGGACCAGTGAAGTGTTGGAGCTTTTTTGATGCGTTTCCGCCCTCATGATGACACGAAAGATCCCGAGGATCAACTGCTCAAGCTTGCACGCAAGCTACCATGGGATGGTGCAGCCGGCCCGATTCATGCTTGCTTCGCGACGGGGTTCCATATTTTTTGGCACAGTGCCAGCAATGTAGACACTTGGCTAGGCTGCCCGTACCTTTGCAGGTCCAGCTGTGGGATGGCTGAAGAAATGTTTGCTGGACGGCTCCCATTGCCATGCCTTTTGCCGCAAGCCTAAGCTCTTTTGCATCCGCTGGGCCGCGATTGCTTATCGTAGTCAAGAGAGTCGGTGACCTGGCGCAACAGAGTTGGCCCACATGTCGCAAACTCTATAGTAGGAGCAGATCATGAAGGGCACTCTGTGCCGCGCTAGCTCGCATGTAATTCTGCAAACCATGTTTGTGCAGGACTTAAACCATCACGCCAATTACGAGAATTTGTCTTGTGCTGCGGGCTTAGACCAGCTCATGACTCTTGTCGTCATGCAAGTGGCAATCGGGCAGAGCTAGCGTACTTCTTGTGACCACCCTAGGTGGCCTCTCTTTTGAGTGGCCTGGCCAAGTACCGTGATGCCTTCGTGATAGACGTAATCGATTCCCTCTTGGAAAACATCCAGGTGTGGATCTGTCCATTCGCAGTAGCTGTACATAGTTTGGCTGGCACAGGTGACCTTGGAGAGGAATGACTTTCGAGAGATGCCCTTAAGAGTCAGATTCTTGGAATGGCCGTTTGTCGAACGCAGAAGCCGGGATCGCAGACCGAGGTTCGACAAGTGAAGCTCGTGGGTGAGCTGTACAACTACAGATTGGTCGATTCTGTCCTGGTTTTTGACTGCTTGTACCAGCCACGACCCTCAGGAGCTGGAGCGACGAGGATTGTGGCCGAATAGTGCAGAGCAGAAATTCTCAGGTTCATCGGTTTCGGGGGGCCGACATCGAATCGAGCTGGACAATTCATCACAGCCGGGGCCCCTTGATCGGGCTCAAGCCTACACATCTCCATGTTCGGCTCAGGCACATAAGCTGGTGGAGAAGGCCTTGATCTGAGACTCTTAGATCCGGAAGCGAGAGCTCACAAAGCGTCGACCGAGGGCTTGGTGATGAGGAAGGGTGGTCTCGGAAGCATCTCCGAAGAAGCGGAGGAAATGTACAAGATCCGGTTTGAAAGGGCATCCCATGTGTGTCCTTCTTGCCGATGACACCTGAACAGCCTGAACCTGTGCCATCCTGTGCCTAAAGCCAGATCAAGTGGTAGGCCGCAAGGCCTGGTAGCTCATAGGGAGGAATGCAGGCGGCGGTCTGCCGAATCTCACCGGTTGGATACCTTTTTGCGGTTTCTAGCGTCTTGGGCCAAGTAGGCCGGCCGAAGATTTAGTTCCGATTGCGAAGATGCTGCGGAGGACAATGAAGATGGCGGACAGCCGCTTGCTCGGCACTTCGCAACAACTTTGCATAGACAGGCCATCATAGGGCAGGCGCAGTGGGGACGGAACTGAGGCTCCCAGAGATACTTGCAGATCCACAGCATCCTCTGGAGGCACTGGACGTGTATGAGACGATTCGCCATCCACGTACCTGAGCACGCCTGCCTTGCTTGACTGACTTGCCTTTTGCTCATATAGAAGGCCCCCTGGGACTTCTTCAGGATTAAATTGGCTGCCGCCTCGGTTTGCAGCGCTCGACGGGGGTGCAGCCGGGAATCTTCAAAGACCATGCAGAATCTCCGTGTACGGTCCGTCGAACAGAGTTCCCTGTGTTGGAATGTGTTGGACAGGAGCCCGAGGGCTTCGAGAGGGGATGTGCCGAAGCTTGTCCTTTTGAGAGCCAAGCCCAGCAACTCCGCATGTTCGTAGAGCTTGGGTTGCTCGGAACTAGATACTTGATTGATTCAGCGACGTTTGTGCAACACGAGAAGCGCAAGTCCAAGATTTTGCCCCTGTTAGGGAGGAGTTGGTTTGAACCGATACCCGCAGCGACGCCCGAATGAAACTCTGAAATCGTTGCAAGGGACCCATTTTTTGGTTAGCCTTCTTTGGGGTGGACGACGGCGGCGACGGCCACTACCACCGATTACTTAATGTCAATGTTATTTACAATTGTTGCTATTCTTACGGCCATGACTGTGACCATTAGTCTTGTGATCATTAGTCTTATTCATTCTGCCCCCCCCCCCCCTAGAGGAAACCTCCAACCTCTCCCTGCCTGACCCCTATGCAACTTTCAACCCTCCATGCCCCTCGACCCTCCCACGCCTCACGAACAAAAAGCAGTATAACGGCCAAGAAAAATTATCCACTCGAGTTGAAATTGATTGTTTTCGTTATCTACTATCTCCTTACCATAAAGTATATTCATGCCAGAGGCTAACAGGCGCAGGCCTTGCACAAGCAGATGGATGCTACCATGTGCCGACAGCGGTGTCCTGCAGAGGACTCTTTCGAGCTTCGGCCTCAACAGCCCCGGCAAGACTGGCCCGGTGTCGTTAAACTGCACCAAAAATCGATTTTCGCCAGGCGGTTTTGGCGTGGAAATGCAAGGTCGCGAGCACGTTGAAATTTGAGATTGTATCCTAGAGAGTGAAGGGCTGTTGTTACACTTGCGAGTGGGTTCGAAGGGCACCACAGTCGCGAGAGTACCAGTGCACCGCGAACCATATGCTAGTCGATTTCCGCAGTCACCGGCCGTGACAAACAACAACCTACATGCCGAGAAAATGCAATCAACTTCGGTGTCGAATACGTTCACACCGTCCTGCCCTCAGCATGAGCTTTCGTCTCCGGTCAGAGGAGCAAATTGCCGAAACAGACGGGCAGTCCACAAACAAGATTGCTGTCATTCACGGAAGAAGATTACTTTGTTGAGCTGGGGAGATTCAAGCATCCCCTATATCTTGAACTATTGGTTTTCTTATACTTGGAGGTTCATGGGTAGTTATAAGTGGGGTTATAAGTAGGGTAACTATACTTACAACCCATATTAGGGGTCTTATAACCCTACTTATAACTACCCATGAACCTCCAAGTAGGCTTTCCCCGCATGTAAGCGCGAGAGCTGGGAGAGCCAATCTGGCCCAATGCAGCGCAGCAGGTCTGTGTTCTGCTTGAGACCTGTGGGCATTACTTCGATCGCGGGGCTGCGCTGAGCCCGGAAAGTTTATGACGTCATGCTTCGCCAGACAGGATTACCGTGTGTTGATGGCTCTGCAGCACTAAGTCCAAGCAGAAGCTCGATCGCTTCTTGACCTTCTTCATACGCTATGTCCACAGCAAGGTGCAGCAACGTAGAGCTGCCCTGAAAGCCGGGACTTAGCGCCCATGTTCTGCATATCAGGGCGAGCTGCCGCAGCGCTTCATGAACATGGTCTACGACACCTTGGAGAGGCTCAGGCCAGAGACCGGTCAGGATGGGGATTTGCTGCATAAAATTGACACTCAGGCCCAAGCTGACCTATCCAGAACTAAAGGCAGACGCGAACGAGGTGTGGCTGTGCTTGCATCTGTGCAGTGGCTGTGATTCGGCGGCTTCTCTTGTGCTGCACGAGGCAGTGATGCGACAACTTGACAAGGAGAAGGACGATGTCGATGTTGGAGGCCACGTATGTAAGGAAAGCCTTGTGCGTTTTGGTCGTGTCGACTCCAGGTGGGAACGCAGAAGATCAGGATGATGACGAGGAGATTACGGCAAAATGTCAACTTCTATGATTCAATGAATGTAAATCGAATTGATGCCTTTTGCTTGTAATGTTTGAACGCACCCGTCTTGCCGGTGTAGAGATGCCCTTGAAGCCTGTCTTGCAGTTGAGTTGGAAGGATGAGGAGGACGAGAGCTCAGATGAGGACGAAAGCGAATCTGTTCCAGACTTAGATTCATTGTAACAAACTGGGTGTGAGCCTTGCGACCAGAAACGGTTCATAGTTGCTTGTCCAGCATGAAAAAAAGTGCCGAGGACGACGGCGAGGAATCGTCGGAAGAGGCCTTGATGGCGAGACTTCGACGTGGCAGCAAGCCCACATGACGGGCAAGGCTAAAAGCTTTGGCAGGAGTCTGAAGAGGAAGATGACAGCGAGTCTGATGATGACGAAGCTGAGCTACAGCCTTACTCTACAGCTCTTCCGAACCCTGCTTTACTTTCTGTCATGCTTATGGACCGAGTGAATTGCCTGATAATGGAGGTACGACCGAGGAGATCATGAACAGCAGTGCCGTTCCTTGCTTCCCCTTTCGTGCCTGCACTTGTAGGAGTAGGGCACAGCTCAGACAAGACAAGATTGCCAACCACGCAACTGAGGCATGCTGCCGAGGATGACTTCGACAAGGAGGTGTCGCAATGCACCAAACATGGTGCGAACTGCAGGCAGCTTGCGCGTTCAAAGCGAGGTTCAGCAGCTGCTGATCGAATCCTTAGAGAAGGAGAGGAATGCCCCTCGCGTACTGCCGGGCCCCTGGAGATAGTGGGTGGCCGTGGACTGTCAAGTGGTCGAAGCAGGTCTGAGCTGCCGCCTCCGACGGTCATTGCAAGAAAAACCGAGCAGCTTGCGGAACAGTCCTTGGATTGCGGCGGCTCTGCTCCTCTCGCGCTTCCAGAGCCGCCCAAGCTGTGTGTTTGTCGCGACTGAGGAGTCGCCACTTGGCCAGTTCAGCCTCTTACAAAAGCTCAGAGCTGAGACTCGTGGGCTGACACCTTGAACAGTAGCCCAGCAGCTGCTGACCCAAAGAGATCCCCGTCCTGAAGCTGCACCCCGTTTTAAGGAAGACAGGTGGCAAGATCTTGGCGAAGCAGCTGAGCATCCCAGATGACTCGAAATTACTGAGAGTCGATGGCTCATTCGCTTGGATCGAAGCGTTTGGAGCCAGCTTGTGATGTCAGGCACGGCAAGAGACTGTGGAAGAAGCTTCGCGCGAGCGTGAAGATCTCAAGAGGCCCGCGCGGAAGAGGCTGCTCCAGCGGTTAACATATGTTATGTCCTTGCCGGAAAGGTTTGTCATGCAGTACGAGGAGACTGGAGCAGGCAGGGCTTGAAAAAGGCTCTGTGTTGACGTGAAGACGAGGCTTAAGAGTCATGTCACAGGTGATGCGTCAGGTTCCGTTATCCCAATTACGGCGTGCAGCCCGGTTGAGCCTGGTGGTGTGGCGAGGTCATGTAGGTCCCATGTTGCTCAGATGTTGCTTCGCCTGCTCGGTCTATCCAAGGGCCATGTAGGCCGCAGATGCATCCAGACAGAATTAAACAGATCTCGGCAAGGTCGGGAAGTGTGCATTGATGGGGTCTGAGCAGCTTCAAGCTGTGCTCACACCTTTATAAGCCGAGTCCAAAGCGTTATCTTGTTCAGCGGTGCTGAAGCGGAGCCAATCTCTGCCAACATGGCCAGCCATGGGCCACTGCTCCTCACGTGAGTGCCAAGCCGACTTTTGCGACCGCAGATCTACGAATGATGGGAGCTCCTTGCATGCGAATCACATTGGTCAACTTTAATAATCATTGCAGAAATGCCAAAGAAGCAGCGGCGATTCCTGGAGGCGCTAGACTGTCCCCGTTGGATGACGTGGAGATGCAGGATCAGAAGGGGCAGCAGGAGCCGGGTTGCAGTCCGGTCCGTTGGCAAAGGACCTCCAGCATGTCGCCGATATCCAGGATGACGCGCTTGGCGATGAACTTCCCAGAGAGCTTGCCGGCGCGGTGTTCGCAGCCACGTCTTCAAAGGTGCACTCGTCGCTCGAATCGTTGCAGATTCGCAAGAGCACGACTCTCAGATCTCTCGAGAGGCTTTGGAGCACGAGTGTAGTGACGGGGCATGCAGCACCAGAGCCAGAGGTGTCTCTAAGCTTGACGAGATGGAAGCAAAGATTAGGAAGGAAGGTCTGGTGCAAACTTCGAGCCAGGCTGGACGGCGGAAGGTTCGTTCTTGGTAGCTCAGAGACATCTGCCGAAGGTCTTGGAATCTCGACAAGAAGAGTTCTTCATTCCGCCGGGAGAACCCTGGGAGATGTGTGCATCAGAAACATGCGAAGGCGAAGGCCTGCCGAAACCAGATGCAAAGATGTAAGGATTGAAGCCAGGCTTCGCTTGACAGGTTGCGCAACTCCGCAAACTTCCACATCTCTCGAGCCCGAAGATGGCATCCCAAAGGCAAAGGCGAAGGCTTTCCTGGCAGGTCCCTGGCGACATGCTTTGCAGTTTTCTTTTGGATAGGGGTGTGTTTCATGCTCTCCGTCCTGGTCATTCTCATCTGCGGAAGGAAGACGGTTCCCTGTCTTTCCAGACGAGCCTTCACCGATTGCGCCCCTTGGTTCCCAAATTTGGTTGGGGGCAAGCTGGACTTGACAGCTGTGTGCCGCTGTGTCCGAAACAGACTGCTAAGGATTGTCCCTCCACCACTGGAGGAAGACGTCGGTGAGGGTGCCAGAAATTCCGCGGCAAGCCCGCTCAGGGCAAGTGAAGTCCTGACCGGCGCTGTTCCAGGCACATGGGCCACTTCCAGAATAGCTTTCATGGCTAGACGACAGTCTGGGAGACGTGCCTTTCTGCGCGTCCGCAAGCGGCTGTACGGACTTTGATGACGTTACCATGATAGTCATGGTGCATCTCGCGATCCTCCCTTCTTCTTTTCTCGTGAAGCGTCCGTCATTGTCGCCATCGCTGTTCGTACAGTACTCTTGCGGGTCAAGGTTTGACGCACCTTTCATGTGTTGGCTCTACAAGATCAAATTGGGATTTGAGGTGTCGGCCTGGACAGCATCAGCGTGGCCACTGGAAGGCGTGAGGGCAACCTGCTCTCCGACACCACATCTGTCCCGTCTGAGCCAGACCTGGCACAGTCTGCTCGCATCTGTCCGGAGGGAGAAACTTGCCGTCCGGATGTAGCTTCCCAGTAGATCCTTGCATACATTGCCGCGCACAAGCCACGTGGATGGACGAAATGTGCAAACTCTTTCCGCAATGCTGCCGTTCCTGACTGTGCCACAAGCCTAGCTGCACACACGTCCGTGCTCAGAGTCGATCTTTCGGCAAGGTACGCACAAGGGCCGGGAAGGGTGGCCGCAAAGGCGGCTCACGGTGTCGAGCTCAATTGACAAGGCTTTAAGGAAGCAGAATTTGCAGGGGGCTCCTGGGGCACCGAAATCTAATTAGGACGCGTGATGGCGACTACCTCAAGGACGAAGCAAGCAAGGTGGAAGTCACAAGCGTTAACCACGACCACCGTGTGCAGGAAGAGCTGACTCCTGAAGAGTCCCGGGCAGAGCCATCCGGCACCATGATGGGAGGCAGGAGATGCGCACATTGAGGGTGCACGTGGGCAGTGTGCACTTGTGAGGGGGAATCGTTGTCCGCTACGCCAGCAAGGGCAAAGGGAAGGCCGCTTCTCCGCTTTTTGTGTCGAAGTCAGCTGAGAGCATCTATGAATGTTCAGGCAAGCAGCCTGTGCCTCGGTTGTTGGAATGTGCTTAGCTCATTATGGTATCATGGGCTGTTGGCGCCTGCTGTCAGACCGGACAAGATCGCATTTTGATGTAGGAAGGCCACTTTTGCGAAGAAGCGCGGCGGAAAACCAGAACATGAATGCGTCGACTGGTTGGCTTTGCCAGCATGAGTGGATGACACGGTCAGCACACTCGAAGGACACCCCGCCGCAATAAAGGTCTGATCAAGGCATGTAGGAAATGCTGGTCGTGTTTGAGAATTATCAGGCTCTGCCTATTCAGGACTCGATGTGTGGGTGCACAGCTCGGAGAGCAAAATCGATTCAACAGGCCTCAAAAACGCGCAACCACATGCAACCGCGTTCATCTCATTAATAGGCTGCGTGCGCCACCTTGCAGCATGATCTGGTGAAGTTGCAGTCTTCGCACCTTGGCACCCGAGGCAAGGGCAAAAGTAAAGGCTCAGCACCGGTGCGGCTTGCTGCGTGCTGGGCTGAATCCACAAGCATGGGCTGCATGCAGCTCCTGCAGTTATGCTTACCGGGTCTTTCGTTCGATGCACTGATTCCGACAGATTCCCAGCTTCTGTCAATAACTCATCAGGCGTGGTACGCCAAGTGATGCACCGAAGCAAGAGCTGTTCTCGGCTTAGCTTCGGCAGACTGCTGCTGATGCGATTGGCTCATGTCGGCATGCTGGTCAACCAAGGTGAAGAAGTCGTCTGCGCATTGTTCTGGATCGGGGCCGCTAGCTCGGTGCGACATTGCATTCTTGCCCCAGCCAAACTGCCTTCCATTATGGTTGGGCACAGTTGCACAGCGGGTTCCTGTTCCAAAGCGTTTGTTATGAGGCAGTGGCCATAGACTTACTGAAGTGTCCACTTGAAGTCCACTTGGCTCGAGCTGTGCATAGTACACTAGCACACGTCTTGCTGATTGCCATGACGTTTGAGCCGACCCGTTTTCCTCCAGAGTTCCAGTGGTGCGGTCGTTTCCATGACGGCAAAGATACGTGGTTGTCTTTAGCATGAAGCGTTTTGGGCAAGTTGCGTGCAGAAAAGTCATCCCATCGACCAGTTGCAGCTGCAACCCGAAGGTGCCAAACGAAATCGTTTCGTGAAGTTCCATACCCGTTGTTGCTTGCAGCACAATGGCCTACATGCGCAGTTTGCTGGAATCGTAGCTTGTTTTCTCAGCTTTTCGGCTGTAAGTTATCACAATGTAGCTTCCGGTTCGGAGTTGCTGAATCAGGCGCCCTCTGTCGGTAGTAGCTTCGTCGCGGAGCCTTCTGAAGCCAACGTCTCGAGGAGGCCGAGGCAGACAGCCGCCTCCATGTCCAATGAGGAAGGCAGGCTCTGCGACGGATGTTTGCTGCACAATCTTGCTGTATGAGCAGGCAATGGCTCCTCCGTTCCCCTGGCCGCACAAAGAGAGCAACACACATCCCTGATCCTGAAGCTACAGAATTCAGGCCCATTTGGCCGCCGAAGAAGACGAGCTTGAGGGCAACAATTTCCTGGCAGCATCCTCGGCGGTGACGGAGGAATATGCGCAACTTATATTGCTTTCGTGTTCTATGATGTGCTGTTAAGGTGAAAGACCGCTCGTGCTTTAGTCGCAATCTGGAACGTACGTTCGGCCGCCGCATGCTGCTTCGATTGACAGCTTTGTGCATGAAGTGCTCATGTGAATGGAAGCGAGGTGCACGGATTGCTGGTGCATTCTGGTCTTCCTCGCTGCACTAGCAGTCTTCGTGTTCGTGACATTCCTCGGCCTGCAGGCCAGTCTTATTGATTGCTGACACAAGAGGCATTCACAGGAGTGGCAGCAGGATGGGAATCCTCGGAAGCTATATCTACCGCGCGACTACAGCGGCAGCTACTGCGATGCTGATTCCAACTGGGGGACCAACTACAATCTGAGCCTTGGCAGGGGTTCAGCGCCACAGACATGCCATGCAGACTCGCACTCACATCGTCCAGGCAGGGCTTCCCATTCCTGAGCTACACCATGAACGTCACGTGGCTCGGCACAACAGGCCAGCCGCAGTTCGCCGCGGTCGGTCGGCAACTACTTCCGAGGTCTACGACGGATTTGGTCGTCAAAGAATTGTGACTTGGCTGAGTCACTGGATTTCGCCAGGAGGCTCCTTATGTCAGAGGCGGTCACCGTTGGCTGTCGGAGTTTTGGCGATGTAAGGATCTGCTCATATGCAGCCCGCGATGCTTTGGTCGGTGGTTCTAGCCCACTGCTGACAAGCATGTCAGAGCAACAGGCGCCAGTGTTCTTATAGCTAGCGGAAGTCAGCGAGCGGTTGATCAAGTAAAGTGTGTTCGTCCTGCTTACTGAACAGCGGAGGCATATCTATGCCATTGCTGCCTTGCGCCTTGTGCCAAGTGTACGGGCAGCTACAAGACGGAGAAGCTACAGAGTGGGGGCATTCAGGTGGGTAGGTACTCAGCTCGCTTTGTGTTCCCTGGCTGTTTCTTCTGCTTGGCAAGGATTCTTGGTTTCCTTGATTGTTCTGCCTGCAGTGGGATGGGCGTTTAAAAAAACGTTCCCCCCGAACCTAAAATCCCCAGTAGGGGCGTCCTACCCCTGCTACCATGCCATGCAGCAGGCAAGAGCCCTCTGCTGTAGTACTACTGCCTCTGCTGAAACTGCGGGGCACGTTCACAGTTTTTTTTTGAGCACAAGAAGCCAGATAAGCACACTTACGTCAAAGTAGGAAGTTTTCACAACACACGTGGTAGTGCATGTGCTTTCTTCGAAGGTGGCCCTTCCCACAAGGAGTCGTCCTGTCCAGTCTCTGGCATTAAGGAGTCCACACTGTTCCACCGTGCTTTCTCAAAAACGATCCAGCTTATGAATTCCGAGGCTTGTCCATGCTGTCTGAGACGCAAATCATGTATCGTGCATGAGGTGAACTTAAGAAGGTGTTGCCCACGAATTGTCAACTGATCCTGGGCGCTGCGAGCGTTCATTCCTGTCTGTGGCGGCACAACCTGCATTGCAACAGTGATGTCGCCTTCGCGATGATTGAAAGCCCACTCGGCATCATGGAGGGTAGTCGGGCAGAGTGATAAAAAGGAGGTTCCTGGGCTACACTATGCGGCCTCTTGGCCTCGTCCGTGTGGACTTCCAAATCAATCCGCCTGGTCTCCAAGTCCAGCTTACGCCCCTCAGTACACGAGGGCAGTTGATCACATGTCTCAAACACGCTCGTGAGGCGATGGTGGTTCATCACACTACTGACTCCCGCCCCTTCATGAAGCGATGGCGATCACATTCTGGAAGCCGGGCTGGTAATCACATTTCTTAAGCCCAGCCGTCCCCTATCGCATTTCTGATTCCCTGGCCCACTTTGGGCGATGGCGAACGAACGCAGTTTTTGAAGCGCGACGCTCATCAGGGGAGGGCGGCCCATGACGTACCTGAAAAACCGAACCCTCATTCCTCCACTATGCTTGATCATATGTTTTAAAAATCCGCGATGGCGTTTGATCACATTTCTTGAAACCCGCCTCCTCATTTAGCAGTGGCAGTTGAACGCATATCTCAAACCCGCCCCTTCATTAGGCGATAGTGTCGCTGAGGGTCGATCACATTTCTCAAACCCGCCCCTGAGGCTATTGCGGATAATGACATGTCTAACACCGCGGCATCATTGCGCGATGGCCCTTGATCGCATTTCCCAAACCCGCCCCGCGCCCGTTGTGCAATGTTGTTTGCAGCAGTCCCTTTCGACGGGATGAGCTTCTTCAACCAAAGCTTTGCGCGACTTTGAGGGCACAGCCTGAATCTGGGGGAAGTCATGCCTCCAAAATGCAGCGCGTTCAAAGTGCCTCTAACCCTGTCGGGGCCAACATATACGGCTTCCCGGGCTCGTCGGTGTCTTCTAATCCAGCCAAGACATGCGGCTGAACCCGCCCACGATGCTCGAATGAGCGGCTCGGATAGGTTTCACCTGGGTATTGCAGCACCTCCTTCGACGGCATGGGGTTCTTCACAGATGTTTTGAAACAAGCGGCAGGAGGGGGGTGGACACAACAACTCAAGGCAGTCAGGCAGAAGCAAGAAGCAAAAGCAGCAGAAGCCACAGCAACCGAAAGCAATCAGCGAAGAGCAGCAAAGCAACAAGCAACACCAAAGCAAACTTCTGTAGAAGGAAGAAAGCGGAAGCCAAAGCCAAAGCAGAGTGCAAAAGCTGGAAGCCAAGGTGCAGAAAGCAAGACGGAGAGACAAAAACACAAAGGACAAACTGTGTAAGAAGAAATGCAGAAAGCCAACTTCAACGAGAATGAAATCCGCCAGGAAACCAAAGGCAACATTATTTTTAGTTAGTCGAATCAAGTTCTTTTGGAGAAGGACTTTCGACATTTCGACCGGTGCTTGGAAGACAACAATGATCCCACAATGGTAATGGTAATGCTTTCAATGTATTCGGCCTCCGGCATAGGATTGCTGAAATAACATGCCTTTACCCGAATATGCACACCGCTCCACACCATGAGCTGTTGGGCAACAGACATTCCCACACACTTTCAGCCGGTGGGGTGGTGGTGGTGGTGGGCGTTTTGCTGTGTACAACTTCTGACAGGGCTTGCACTACGCAACTCATGCTCATAATGCTGGCTCGTGCGCCCAGCATCATCGGGTCTTTGCTTCTCGATTTCTCTTGTGCGTGAGCATCCTGCGATCGCGACTTCGTGTTTTCTCTTATCTTGGCCTGGGTGTTTGCGTTTCTCGTTCGCACTGCTGCCTGACATCCGCGCGGTGTTGGCCCCCTGCTCAGTGCTATCAGGAACATTGTGTCTTTGTTTCGGTATTCAATGACGCCCACACTGCGCTGCGCAATCATATTTGGCTCTGCCCCCCCTTTCCCTGCACCAGATAAGCGAGTTTTGGGCAGGGCGTGCATGCTGCACCTGGCCCAGTACCTTGAAGAAAGGATCTGCTTGTGGCCCAAGCCCTGAAGAGCGTAAATCCTTAACCCTCGGAGGGTTGTGCCTGCTGCCAGCGGTGGTGGACCGTTGAACCTCAGCGACGTGTTTTCCGATGGCGACCAGCTCCAAAACACAACCCAGACTTTGAGGATCAACAGGGTGCTAGGGGGTGTGTCTCAGCCGAGAGCGACTGGCAGACTCGTTTTCGACCTTCGGGTGCTGAATGTATTTTTCAGGCGGTCTGCGGCGGACAACCGGTAGTAGAGTATTTCTTTCCTTACCGCCGGGCCACCAAATTCAAAATCGGCTGAAATTCTAGGCAAGTTCTGAGTTTCCCATCGGCAGACGTCATTGAAAAACAGTTCGGGCACTCCCAAATGACACCGGAGGCATGCTGTGCGTGCCAACCCCTTGGGACGACACACAGAATAGCGCCTCGCAACGTATCGCAACAAAACGGGCTGATGCTGCAAGCATGTGTGCCACCACTGAACCTTCGTGATGAGGACTCTGGCAAGCCGACTAATGCTGATCCAACTCATGACAGTCATGCTGCTACAGCTTCTGTGCATCTTGCACTCTAGAGAGTATCGTTCTGAGAAGGCTGCTGAGTAAGACAGCCGCTGAAACCCAGCGCTCACCTTAAGAACGCCACCAAGAGAGAAAGGTGCATTACCCGCTTCAGTTGCAAATGTGATGCAGCCATGCTCATGCTGCCAGTTCTGCGCTCTGCAAACAGGGGACCATCTCTGGCAAGATGTCTGAGA